TTGATACCTTGTTAAACCACTTAAGAAGGCTGGACACACCTCTGTGAAATCACATTTAAAAACAAACAAACGCCAGGAAAAACTCTCTTACTTTCCAGCCTTTGAGCAGACACCTGGACCCTGGCTGGGTGCGCTGGTTTTGTACTGGAGGCCTGGCAGGACCAGGCCAGGCCCTGGTATTCTGCAGCAACAACAGCAACAACAACAGGAACAAAAAACCAACAACCAAAACCAGCCTTTTCTCACCCATCAAGCAATTTCCCTTTGGTGTAGTTACACCCACAACCAGCACGGAGCGCTGTTGACTCATGTCAAGGCTGCAGTGACGCCTCCACAGCTCCAGGAGGCGCTGCTGGCTCCCAGCGAGGCGGAGGGGCCACAGTGGTGCCCCGGCAGCCTCAAGGGCGCTTGGAGTGGGCTCGGAAACCTCCGGAGGTGGTGGTGGGACCTCGGGCAAGGGGAAAACATGGGAGATGGTTGTGTGTGGTGTGGGCATCGGGTGCTTGTCTTTCCTAATGTGAAAAACGCTATTTGTTAAAATTTAAAAAATTTAATGGTAATGAAAATAGTAACAAAAATTAGGACAATAAAAATTAAGACAAAAAAAAATTAGGATAATAAAAGACAGTAAGAAAAAATAAAAAGTAAAGAATAATGGATGTCTGGGTGTTTGGTATTTTGCTAAAAGGCACACTTTGTTAATAAAGGATTACTCTTTAAAAGTAATACTTTATTGTATATTCATACATCTTATATATTAATTAAACATTCTTTTCAAATTAGGGTGTTTTTGTTTAATTTTAGCTTCCTCCCCCTTCTTGTAAATTTATTGTTTTGGTTTTTGGAAGTTTAGCATTTCTCAATCAGCAGGTAATAATTATTTTCTTGGGATTTTGGTGTCTGTTGTTGTTATTTTTATCTAGATAGGATAATGTGAAGAATTTCTGGGTAACCTTTTTAAATTTCTGAGTTAGTTGCAAAAAGTATCATATATTATCTTATATACTTTCTATTTTAATATGCTATAGCTTAAAACTGTATTTACTACACAGCTTAAAAGAGATTAATACAGCACTACTTAAAAGAAGTTAATATAATATAACTTTCCAACATAACACATACAGTATTCATTTTAATGCTTGTGAAGAGCCAATCATATAATATGTATTTTTCACACCTAAGATGGGGCAAATGGGTTAAACTGTGGGAGGATCCCTGGAGCAGCGGGCTGGAGCAGTGGAGGCAGGCAGACTCAGGGAGGAAAGCTAAACTGTAGCAATGTCCCTGCAAGAGCCAAATGCTGTCTGTAGCACACATGACTGCGATCCTCAACCACTGAGCCAAAAAAGTGGCCATAAACCAGTCCCGCACCCCCAGAAAGAGTCCCAGAGTCCACCCCAATACAACTCATTGTTTTATGCCACAACTCCTGAAGAACATACTCCTGCTTCCCCCCCGTTGTGACTCCCAAACTCTTGTTCCCCTGGCCAGCCACTACAGTGGTACGTGAGAGTGCTTGGCCATGTTTTTTTGTTTCTTACTTGCCCCCAGTTTGTCTCCTGGATAACCTACTTCCCTCACAGTGTCTTTCTTCCAGATAACAAATGGGAGAAAATTCCCTGGAAAAAACCCAAACCCACAACAGGAGAGGAAGAGGATTCCAAAATGTTGACAGCTCCCTGAATCTGTGGATGAAGAGGAAGGAGAGCAAACGCAGATTTAGAGGAATTTAGGCCAGTGGCAGGGAGAATATTCCCAGGAGGAGAGGGAAGAAAGGAGGAAATGGAGCAATTCAAGCCCCTCTCAGGTGGGCAGTAGGTACAGATGGACTGGTTGTGGTAACGATGCCTTTTTTAGTAACTGAGTTGAGGTCCTGGAAGGACTTGGCAGGGACTTAAAGGGAAAATCCTGAGAAGGCAAGTAAGGTCTTTGAGACCATTGTAAGAACCCAGGGTCCTGACTGGAATGATATTCAGGTGGTTTTAGATACACTGCTGCATGTAGATGAGGAGACAATGGTGGTAGCAAAGTCAAACAAAGAGGTAGAATGAGTTCATGCTCAAAATGTGCAACCAGGAAAAGTAGATCAATGTTTTCCACCTGCTGATCCAAGATTAGATCCCAACTGTCCCAAAAATTAATCCACAAACACCAGAGGTTCACTACCTGACCCCACTTTTCTTCTTCCTTGTGTTCCTTCCTCTGTTCTTTTCCTTTAAGTCCAGGGATTTAATACTTTCAGTGAGTAACAGTCTGTGTCAAGTAGTGGAATTCCTCTGGAATTTATGGTTCCTCCCATTGCTTCTTTCCCCTCTCGGTATCTGGCTTTATTCACCAGCAGGCCCACAGTTTGTTTGTAAAGACACCTCCTTCTCATTCCTTTCACAACCAATGAGGACACAGGGATCTTCCGACCAGATATCAGAGATTAACCATTTTTTGTACGAAACATACAATTCCAAAGGCTGTAATTATGTCAGAATTGTATCACGTAACCCAAGGAAAGAATGAGTCTCTTTCCAATTTCCATCAATGAATACGGGATGAAGATGGGAAATTTGCTAACATGGACCCTGACAGAGAAGCAGATGTGTTACACATGGCAGCCACAATTATGGGACAATTGGCTCCAGACATTACGAGGAAGTTACAGAGATTGGGGGCAGAGGACTCCAGAAATGTAAATAAATTGTTAGAAACTGCATAGAAATTATGCAATAACACAGGGTTGGCTTAGGGAGACAAAGATGGAGAACTCACGGCTGCTCTAATGGGTCCCAGAGGAGAGAGAGGAGTTGTTGGGGAAGAGGCAGAACATGTTGAAGACGTTTTCAATGATGACCATTAGGAAAAGATCAGTGTGTGCTATTTGCAAGGGAACAGGGTGATTTTAGGATGATATTCTATTCCCTTATTTTCTGTTCTATGCCCAGAAATGGTTCCTGTAGCTTTAAGGTGCGTCCAGATAAGGGACAGTTATGCCTTAAAATTCAACTTTTACATTTTTTTGATCCTGTACATCTTTACAATATACCTCTAAAACTCCAGTAGCCTGTCAGCTACTGTTCTCCCATTTTATTCAGACAAAACAATTCCTCTAGCCTCAAAATCATGGACACCCCACTGTCTCAGGCCCCAGAAAGTGAGTTGGGGAGGAGAAAACTGAGGGTAAATGACCTTATTACCTGAAGCTGTAATTGGAAGATTAACCTCTGCTACGTAAATGGACTAAACTTATAACTTGTATGGTAAACTTGTGACCATCATCCATCTTGGATGTTGCCTCTGGGAGGCTTCTGACTGCCCATGGTGTTCTTATTGAAGGCCTTTAATATCGGCGATTGAGAGACAAGACTTCCCACAGATGTTAGCAAGAAGTTGTTTATTGTTGATACAGCAAAGCCGTCTGCCATCTCTAGAGCTGGGTATATATACTCTAACAGCTTTAGATAAAATTTTCCACTGCCAAGCAATAATCACATTCCTAGTGTTTCTTAGCTACATTGCTAAGCCCAAGCACCTGCAGCCTAACGTGACTTACTTAAAGCACAACATTCCTTTTTCCTTCCGCCCTTACATTTCTGTTTGAACTCCCCATGGTTTCTCCCCCACAAGAGCCAGGATGTCTGCACCATCCATCATCTCCACAGTACTCCCTGCTCCACTGCCCAGCTGCCTCCCCATACTTTAATAAATGCCTACTTTTATTTTCTTAACCTTGTCTAGTCTCTGCTCCAGGTAGCCACTCCAAGGCACCAATGAAAGCCTTGGGGCTTTTGTGCAGGCTTGGTTCAAAGCCTCACTCTCAGGTGTGCTTGGATACCCTGTAACAGGATTATTTTTTTGCTTAGCTGGCTTGGGTTTTTGTTAGCTGAAGCAAGAGGTTTTTTCCCCTTCCCTAGCCTTGAAAGAGCTGCAGCAGCAATCCCTGAGCAGCTTTTTTTCCCCTTGAACTGTTTGGCTTTGTTTTGGTCTGAGATCAGGAAATCAATAGGATCTGTTCAGTAGAATCGTAGGGAGCTGCTCTGCCTGGCCACAGACCTCCAAAAAAGCTGAACTAAGAAGAGAAAGGACCCTGAATTTGAGAGCTGCTGCAGAGCGTGCGGGCAGACAGCATTCTCCACATGGGGCATTCCAAAGGCTTTTGCTCAGCAGCCAGGCCAAGGGCAGGAGCAGCTCCGGCTGGGGCTGAGGGCTGCAGGGAAGGGCAGCAGCCCCAGGCACCTGAGCAGGAGCGGCTGCCCTGGACAGAGACACAGCACCCCTGAGACAGGGAGTGAAAGCACAGCCTGAGACCCGGGGCAGTCGTGTCACTGCTTTCCTGAGAGCAGAGGCACAACAGCTCCTGCTGGGAGAACGGCCTCAGTTGATCCAGGGGGCTGCAATGAGGGAGGGAAGGATGATGCCCAAAAGCCAAGCAGCACAGCTTGCAGCCAGTGTGGAGCTGGCCTCAGGCCCTGCAGGCCTTTCTCTGAGCAGGACAGCTCCTTGCTACAGGAAAACTGCCTTTGGGGCACTGTCCCTTCTTGTCTCACAGCAGCTGATCCAAGGAATGCTTTGAATGCTGTCTTTGCCCCATCCCTGGCCCTTGGGCTGAGGCTTGGCCATGAGGCTGATTGTCCCAAGGAGAGGGTTTGATTTAGCTCTAGGACAATGCCAAAGGAAATGTTTATGGCAGGGAGGCAGGAGGATTCTGACTTTCTATGAAGCGAAGGAATTGCTGAGCAAAGGCCACAGTAATGCGCCTTATTTCACCAAATTTGGGAAAAATTAGATACCATTATCTGAACATGGTTTGAGAGCATCATCATTGTAACTGCATTTTATTGAGAACCTGGTACAAAGTTCCCCTAAACTGCAAAGCTGTTGAGGTTCTACCCTCCAACAGATGTGGCTTAACGCTTCTCCAGCTCAGACAGTGCTTCCTGCTTGGTAATTCTCTGCCATGCCTCAGGGATTTCTCCTCTACCCTGAAATTTCCCATTGTACAGAGCTTCCAGCTACTTTTGGAATTTTTTGTGCATGGTTTTAAACCTTCCTGCTGCCATTCTGCACAGATACAGAGACAAATCCATGCTGTACTCTCTGTTAAAAGTACAGGTTGCATTGCTGGGGACAGAGTTCACACCATTCTGTACTTCATTGAGTATTTCATAAATAAAATTTCGACTGTAATCCTGTTTCTCCTCTTCCTTCTTAGAAATGTTTGCCTTCACACAAGCTATGATGTTGTCTGTGATGTGCTGAAAGTTGATCACACCAGCATTGGAAAAGCTCTTGAGATGTGGGACATAGCCTAAATGCTTTTTCTTCATTATGTGTTTCTCTGGATCCAAATAAAATCCTCTGCCTCTGGGAAATGACCTGATGCGTGCATGAATACCCGACTCCTTAAAGTGCTCTCCAAGGACGTCTTCGATTTCTTTATCAATATCCACCTGTTCTGGAGAATTAGGACCATGGGAGACATCAGCAATCCACTTGTTCCAGACAAGAGTAAAGTTGTCCTTCAGTTCTCTCTCGCTGAGGCTCTTCCCTTTGAGACTCACAGCCAGCTCCTGACTCCTTCTCAGGAGCTCATCTTCGTATTCCAACTTCCTTGCAACCAGTTTGTTTTTATCATTCTGTAGCTCAATAAGATTCTCACATTTCTTTTTTGTTTCATGAAGAAGAGTCTTTTTCAGTTCTTTCAGCTTCAGCTCTGTGCTTGATTTCCACTGGACCAGTGTCTCACGGTCTTTGTCTTCCCTGAAATAATTTTCCACTTCTTTCTCAATGGCATCACTTGTCTCTCGCACCAGCCCTTCAAGGTGTTCTCTGGTGACATTCTGCAAGTCCCCATTCCGAATTTTGTTATCCAATCTCATCTGTACATCTAAGATGTGACTCCTCAGCCTCCAGGTCCACTGACTAAAGGCAGTTTCCAGTTTCCTGTACACAGCAATCTCCAGGGAATTCTTGAAGCTGAAAACAAAGTTTTCATTCAGCAAAGCATTCCAGAGGTCACCAATACGATCTTTCAGACTTGAGAACCTCAAAATGCTGCACTGTGACAGATTCTTGGCAGCCTGGAGGATTTTGCTCTTGAGTTGCTGGCTCTGCTGCAATTTCCGGCATTTTGAGAAAATTGTCTTTCTTGCAGTTTAATTCCAAAGCTTCATAAATCTGCCCTACCTCTCTCAGAAGGTGCTCCAGGCCAATTGATGAATCATTGATTTCATCAGAGAGGACATCCAAGCGACTCAGCAACTCAACATTCGCCCTGGATTTTTCATGATATTTCTTTCTTGACAGGATTTTGGAGTGTAATTCATGATAGTCTCTCCTCAGCTCTTCAAGGCGACCACAAGACAGCTCATCCATAAAGACCTTCATCCACTGCAGGAAGTATTTCTTGGTGTCTGCTGGCTGGGCATGGAGAAAGCCAAGGAATGATTTCATCAGTGGGTTGAGAGGGAAAGCTTTGTCAAGTTGCTTTCTTCTTATTGCTTTCTTCTCACTTTCAATTTGGCTTCGATGATGCTCAATGCTCTTATTCCCCTTCTCCTGCAAGCGAGTGAGTTCTTTGTCCTTTTGGCACCACTGGTACCACAGTTTTCCTTGAAGTGGCAGCAGTTTGGATTTGATCTCAGACAGCTTCTCTTTCTTCAGAAGCTCCACCAGCTCCTTTGCCTTTGCTTTGGCTGTCACACATGCGGGTTGATCTGCATCCACTATGAATCCATGCTGGCGAGCTTTGTCCACACAGGTCTCCAGACTGAAACATGGATTAGACCCTTGCAGGAGTTCCCCAATTGTCTTGGTCAGCTGGTCCATCACTTCTGCTTCATTTCTGTTCTTGATCCCTATTGTTATGGTTTTGCTGACTTGTCCAGCTGCAGTGTTCTCTTTTTCTGTGAGAAGACAAACCAAAGGCCTTTGTGACTGCCACAGGTCCTGCAGAAGCTTTTTCCCCCTGTTGTCCATGAGTGTTCTCTCCTTCTCGACTGAGGCTCAAAATCTGCTCCATATCTTGCAACTCATGCAGAGCCGCATCCGAGAGGCGAAGCTGATGCCTTTGGAAGTAGCAGGAGGCCAGAGGGATGTACTGGTATTTGGTGGTGCAAAAGTAGCTCTGCTCAGAGTGGGACTGGTGCGTGTCCTGTGACTGCGAGGAGCTGCTGTGATCTACACCCCCTCCCAGACTAAACCCCCAGAATGAGGATTTGGCAGAAACGCTCATGCTGAAGCCCAGCTGCTCCATGGACTTGGTGAAAGTGGATTCTGCTGCAGAGGAGGAGAACTCCTTCCTCTCAAGCAGCGATCCTTGCTCCGGACTGCCATCTGTTATTTTCAGGAGTTTCTGGAGTGCCCTTTTCTCCCAGGGGTGCCGTACCTCACACTCCAACCTGAGATAGTCTTTGTATTCCAGATGTTGCAGGGCTTCTCTGCACTTGATTCCCAGGATCTGCGTCATTTTGGGCATCCAGTATTCAGTATCCAGTCCTTCCTTCTGGAATGCCTCTGCCAGGAGCTGTGCCTTTGCATCCCCCTCCTGTGTGTCCTCCTGTGAAGCCATGGCTGTGGAGGAAGAACAGAGACTTTCCCTTGAAATTGAGGTGTTGGGAGTTCGCTTAAGTTAGCAATATGAATTAAGCATATAAGTTTTTGCTTGTAGAATTTTAACCTTTTACTTAAGAAATCTTTGCAACTGTAAAAAGGGCAGAGGAAAATGCATATTTCTGAAGCTTCTTGTGATAAAGAACAATACTGGGAGAAGACCAAGGAATGGAAGAAACCTAGATAAAAGACCTCCTCTGTCTCCAAGCTGATCAAAATCGACAGATGTACTCAGATAAGCACCACGGGACCAAAGTGCACGCGCAAAGGCGAAAAGTTCAAAAGTTCATTCATAAGGAAGACAATGGTCTTCGGCCTCACAGACCACCAAAAGAACCCCATGCGATCACCACCGTGAACAATGCATGCTCAAAAGTTCATGGATCTAATTACCATGTGAGGTGAGGACAGGCTGGGCCAGGGGTTGAATATGCATGGAAAGGTTATGCAATGTAATGTATATGGAACACCTTTGTTTAAAAAAAAAAAAAAAAAAGTAGCTCAGACCAGGGCTTGGGGCACAAGTTTTCACGAGAGGTATCTCGCTTGTGCTGGGCACTGATAATACATACCCCCATCATAACTACATCAGGTTGTGGAGTCTATTTATTCTGTGTATTGCTTCACCCTAAGGTGAAGGTGTTGTCAGAGGCCCCAGGCTCCTGGCAGAGGCTCTGCAGCAGCTCCAGCCCTGGGGATTGCTCCCGCCATCACCCTGGATGTGCCTGTTGCTTTCCTGTTTGCAGGATCAACCCTGAAGCTGAGTGTGTATCCCAGAGACTGCACAGACAGACAGACACATAAACAGACAGAGACACAGAGACACACAAACACAGACACAGAGACATGCAGACACACACAAACTGACTCAGCCACACAAGCTGCCCTGGACAAGCTGCTGCCTTCACCATCACCCACATCCTCCCAGCAGAACTCCTCAATCCACAAGTGCAGACAGCCAGGGGCATTCCTGGCTCCCTGGAGCACTGGCACAGCCCCTCTGCCCATCCAACAGCCCTGCCTGCACCCTGCACCCTCTGCCCAGCCCACGGCTGCCCTGCTCGCTGCCTGGCCCAGCCTGCTGCTCCCAGCACCCGGAGGCAGCACTCACACACTCCCCCCATGGGCACCCCTCTCTCCCCAGACACACTCCCCCCATGGGCACCCCACTCTCCCCAGACACATTCCCCCCATGGGCACCCCACTCTCCCCAGACACACTCCACCCATGGGCACCCCACTCTCCCCAGACACACTCCCCCCATGCCCGGCACGGCCCCAGGGGCACACTCCCCCCATGCCCTGGCCCAGCCTGCTGCTCCCAGCACCCGGAGGCAGTGCTCACACACTCTCCCCATGGGCACCCCACTCTCCCCAGACACACTCCACCCATGGGCACCCCACTCTCCCCAGACACACTCCACCCATGGGCACCCCACTCTCCCCAGACACACTCCCCCCATGCCCGGCACGGCCCCAGGGGCTCTGAGCTGTGCTCCTGCTCCAGCTGCCAGCGCAGCCCCTCCCTCACCCTTCTCTAGGCTCTTCCCAGGAACTGCATCCTGGCACACTCAGGGAACCACCCCAGTGCAGGGGGAAAATCCATCTTGTCCCTGCCCACAGCTGTGCCTGGGACATCCTGGTGGCCCTTCAGGAGAGACTGAAGATGCTGGGACCCAGCTCAGAGAGGTGCCCTCCATGATCTGCTGCTTGTTAGCACAGAGGGTCTTGTCAGCCAGTTGCCCATTGGTGGCCATTTTGGCTTCAGCCACCACAGAGCCACCAAATTGTCATGGTTTGACCCTGGCACAATGGCAGGGCCCCCATGAAGGGTATATTTCTGAAATGGTTGTTGTGAGATGTGACTCGGGAACAGAACAAAGCAGGCTCCCATTCAGGGATGGAGGGAAAAGCACAACACTTTATTCATATAAATCTAGAAAGAAACACATACAAAGCTAAGAATGAAAACCTTCCAAATACATTCCTCCTCCCCTTCCCTTTTCTCTACAGATTCACCACCCCTCAAATAATCAACTCTCAAATCTATCAGGGAAAGAGAGGAGTCCTCCCTTGCCTCATAGGCTTCCCCCGGAAGCACAATTAAAACCTCCTGTGCTTCCGTGTTACCTATGGCCCCACCCAGAGAACATCGGCCTTCGTGACTTCTCCCCCCCCATGTCCAGTGCTCTCACCACTGGACACGGGCCAGGACTGCTTTTAGGGCTCCTCGTTTAAAGATGCTCCACCCAGTTCCAGAAACAGCAGTCTCTCAACTTCGGGACACTAGTCCCCCCCAAATTTCACCCCCTGGGGCCGAGGGGCCTCATGAACAGCGATCTTCCTCCCCACGGAGACAGAGGGCATCCCACACCCTCCTCAGCTGTCTCTGTTCACGCCGCTGCTTCACTCTTGACTCCCTGGTGTTGCCTCCCCCTAAATACAGTCTCTGGGTCACAGGGAAAAAACACGGGTTTGTCCATGGCTATACAAGAAAGAGTCCAGCCCAAGGCCACTCCATCATCTCTTCCACCCCGGATTCTTCTCTCTTCTTCCAGCTTTCTTCATGCTTGCCCATCATCTCTCATCTCTCTCTCTCCTCATTCTGATTCAGGAGGATTCAGTATTTGTAAGGTCTCTATTAGTCTACAAAGGGGTTAAAATCTTTACTTCTGCCTGTCCAGGACTCCCACAGCTGCCGGGCACCTTCTCTCGCCGCATCTCCTGCTTCTGGCCGGCAGTGCTGCCAGCACAATTTCTGTCTCTCTCTCTGGGGGGGGGGCTGCCCAGCCATCTCAAGTCTCATCAACCCCTGCATGTTCTCCTCCACCCCTGCACCTTTTGGGGCTCTTGGCCTCCTCTCTGTCATGGCCTCCCCCTGCCCCACCCAGGTGCAGCTGGGCGGGGGAGAGGTCCAGACTCCACTCACCAACGCCGGATTCCCAAAGAGGAAGTTCTCTGGGAATCTTCTGCTTTTAACCCCTGTGTGTTCTCAGAGGCGTATCTAAATCTTCAGTGGCCACACCACATGCCAATTTTGAATTTGGCCACTGATTGGCCCAACCTAAACCTTTCCAGAAACACATTTCCGGGCCAAACCATAAAATCTGTGATGACAGGAGAAAAAGTGCCCAGCAAACCTTCAGCCCTGTCCTTGAGGGAGCAGACTTCAGGCTTCTCAGGGGTGAATTACACAGGGCTCCTGGAAAATGGTTCTGTAAGTTGCCGAGGTTCATCAGTGCTAGTCACTTTTGATTGAAAAATCTCTGAAGGACAAGTCAGTCATGCATCACAACCAGCACAGGCTCAGGAGGGGGAAGTCCTTCTTGTCGCACTTTTTGTTATAGATGAGTAATGAGATGGTTGGCTTTCACAATTAAGGGGTTAATCTTATATGTATGTTAAGACAAGTTTCGTAGATGTATAGTTATGTTACTGTAATATGTCCCATCCCACCCCCTGCGTGGTATCACAGGATGGCCTCGGTAGTCGGGGCATTTGGGGAGGGTTGGCTTGTTCCTATAGTAACACCTGACCTCCCGTCAAGATGGAAGAAAGTGATCTCTACCACTAGGCAGCAAGGAAGGAGTCGACTGACAAGACTCTAGGAGGGGCTAGACATATAAAAGGGAGAGCATCCATTTTGAAGAGGACCATGTGGCTGGTAGTCACGGGGGCTCCGTGTTGAAAACCTTTTCCTTATTCATCCTTTGTTGTAATACCTATTAAGGTTTAAGAAACCTTTGAAATTTTAATAGTGAGCAGTTGTTTCTCACAATGGTCTCTTATCTGGAATAAAAAATCCATCTCTGTAGCTATAGGAGATTTCAAAAGAGAAGCGCACCCTGCCACAATTTTGGCAGCTCGGTTCAGTTCTACTGTGACCATTGGTGAGTGCAGAAGACTAAATAATGAAAAGAAGAGGGGACAAAAAAGCAGACAAAAAATGTGAGTATTTGCATGTGTGTGAGAGTAGAGAGTGTGCCTGGAATGTGTGTGAGAGTTACAGCACTCAGGGGTGCTTGAGAACACCTGGGGTGTGCCAGTGAGAGCCACTGGACTTGGGGGGGCTCAAGAACACCTGTGGGGTGCCAGGTTGAGAGCCACCAGACTTGGGGGGCTTGAGAATCCCTGGGGGACCCAGGTTGAGAGCTACCAGAGTTAGGGGTGCTTGAAAACACGTGGGGGCCAGGTTGAGAGCTATTGGAGTTGGGGGTCATCTGACTGCACTTGTGCAAGCGATAGGAGTCTGTATAGGGCTCCATGCAGCTCAGCGGCTCGGGCAGCACCTGGGGTGGAGGCTGACTGGTGCGCAGCCAGTGTATAATTTTCTGAGCCAGCCAAGGCTGGGGTCACAGCAGGGTGGGC